TCTGTCTGTCTGTCTGTCTGTCTGTCTGTCTGTCTGTCTGTCTGTCTAACTATATAGAACATATTTGAACGTTTCACAACAGCTAGAACATTAAACATATTAACTGCTATTTTATGATTTTTTTTGTTTGTTAAACCTTGGAGAAAATATTTAAAATAACAACAGTTTTAGGCTATTATTCGTAAAACACTTAACATGGATGGATCGTGTCTTTTTTTTTTTTTTCACCCTTTAAGCTTGGTTGCCTAGCAACTCCGCTCTGACGTCACCCGTCCCTGTGCGACCCTGCTTCTAGGGCTTTGATTGGAGGGAAACCCCGTGGATGAGCGGGAGCGATCATCAGCTGTGCGGCGGGGCCATCAGTAAGAGCGACACGGTTTAACGACACTCGCAGGTTAGCTCGCATTTATTTGCCTTTCGCGGTTGGCGTGTATTTCACGATTTATCGGTAAAAACCATCGCTCCGCGCGCTTTGGAGAAAGAGGGATATAAGGCTCTCGATTCTGCACCGACCGCCCCGCCGTTGTTGAGAAGGTAGGTGGAAGTCATTGATGCTCCTGCCGCCTTGCTCAGTCATTGTTAGGAGCTTTTTTTCGTTTTTTTTCAATGAGAAGCGCGAGCTGCGGACCGTTAACGCATTTATGCGTTTTTTTCGTCGCGTTGAAGCGGCGGCCTCTGCATATGGCGGCTCAGTTTAACGTGAACAGTTTAATGTGAACGACCGTCTAACGCACGGAGAAGCGAGTTGTGTTGTGTTCCGGGAAAGCGACACAAAAAGGGCGTTTTCACTGTGAGCTGAAGTAAGCTCGGCTCCTTTGATGATTCAGCCGCGCCGTAATCTTTCGTTCGCCCCTCCGCGGCGACGTCGAGCTCTTTTATTAATTCTTGAGAATAATGTATGGAAGACGGGTTTTTACTTAGGGTGTGTGTTCTCACCGCATGCACGCACTCAGAGGGCAGGTGTGTGTGTGCGCGCGCGTGTATATGAAACTGGGTGGGCGACATTCCTCAGAAGGGCGCAGGTGTGTGTGTGTGTGTGTGTGCAGGTGTGTGTGTTGGGAACTCTGCTTTTGGGACTTTTTTTGCAAAGCTGAAGTGACTCATGGCGCTTGTTTGATGACATTTCTGTCACCAGGCCAAAAATAAACCTGGATCTTTAAAAAGGAAATGACTATTATATAAAGTTATGCACATTTATCACCTGACTGAGTTCTTACATTTGTGTAAAAAGAGTGAATTTAAAAAAAAAAAAAAAAACACTTATAAATGATACACATAAATAAGAAAACGATTTTTAAATGGTTAAGCAGCTAAATCATTGAGGCAGGCTTTAGTTTAGTTTTCTGCATTCTTACAAATAACTAGTGTATTTCTAAGACACTATATTTCAGTACCTTAAAATCTATAATACTTCATAAATTAAGCAATTTATTTTCCTTCATCTCTTAAAATGACAGCAAAGAAACTTTTCTTTAAAAATATTTTGGCTACTAAGTAAAAGTCAACCAAATGCAGCTACTTACTGCATCTTGTTGTCTTAATTATAGGAGTTTATTAAAGTTATTGTTAAAGTTTACGTATAACCTTTAATGTAACCCTACAAAACTCTAAATTGAAGCCAAGGTTGCCATATAGAAGATATAATGGCTTTTATGATTTGTCAGTACCAAATATCAGACATTAAACCTGAAGATTGTTTTAGCAGTTGGTTTTTTTCATTAAGTTGGGGTTTTTTTTTTTTTGGACTTTTTTGTTTGCGTACATTTTCTTCTCTAAAAATTATATTTTTGTTTGCTTTTTGTTCAAAGGTTTAGTCCCAAAATATTTGTCCCATACAGTCGCATAAATACAGTGCATTGTTGTATTGTATATTTATATTCATTTACAATCCCAGTATCTTAATGATGCTGTGCATCATTTAGTTTTATTATTTCATAATATCAATGACAGAAATATGTGGCATAATCAATGTACTGTACACTATGTTGGACTTTGTGCACACTATTTTTTAGAAATTTCAATACCCCAACTTTTTTGTTTTGTATTTTGAATTACGTTAATACAAACTCTGCAGACAGGAGTATAAATCCACTCTGCCCTAAACAGAAAGTGAACCAAATGTGTGATTATGATTTTTGTAACTTAATTTTATTTTAAAATGTCTTGCTTCTTTAGAGACGCATAATAAAAATATTATATAGGAGCATTGTGTTTTTATTTTCATGCACTTAAAATGATTGAATCGCTCATTGACCTCTACCCCCCTCATCCTGTTTGTTCCCATCTTCCTCTCCTCTGACCTTCCTTCCTCGGCCCACACAGAAGCCATGGCAGACAAGACGGAGTTGGTTCAGAGGGCCAAACTGGCCGAGCAGGCGGAGCGCTATGACGACATGGCAGCGGCCATGAAGGCCGTCACGGAGGAGGGCTCGGAGCTCAACAACGAGGAGCGCAACCTGCTCTCTGTCGCCTACAAGAACGTGGTGGGGGCCAGGAGGTCCGCGTGGAGGGTGATGTCCAGCATAGAGCAGAAGCCGGACAGCCTCAAAGCTCCGCTGGCCAAGGAATACAGAATAAGCATAGAGGAGGAGCTGAACAAAATCTGCAGGGAAGTTTTGGTAAGCAGATATTTGCATTGTGTCTAGAAGCTGAACACACATCATCTCAAAATGTTTCGTGACTCTGCTCATGCTGAACAACTAGCAGTTGCAGCTCTCTGCAGGAGACAAACTGTTACTCATTGAGTATTCGGATGTTTTCATGCAGTATCTGTACCTACTGTGGTGGAGGTGGTTCATTTAAGTCTTCATCTGAAGAAAATGAGACAAATCACACATCTCTTTAGAAACGTAACGGATGTTTCGCTGGAATTGTTTACCTAATGATTCAGTTTGTGTTGGACATTGTTATATATTAATTCAGTTCAATTCAGTTTATTTATATAGTGCCAATTCACAACAAAGTTGTCTCGGGGCACTTTACAGAAACATACTTAGAAAAGCCAATTAGGAAAGTTCTCTATCTAAGGAAGCCAGTAGACTCGTTGAATCTTCACTTTATCGCAGTTTCCCATCCTGAGCAAGCACGATGGCAACAGTGGAAAGGAAATGCTCCTTTTTAACGGGAAGAAACCTCCAGCAGAACCAGGCTCAGGACAAGTATGAACAATAAGATCTGTAATATAAGCTGGAGATCGGTTCTGTTGAGAGCTTTGTAGGTTAGAAGTAAGATTTTGAATTTTATTCTGAATTTGACAGGGAGCCAATGGAGAGAAGCTAAAACTGGAGAGAGATGATCTTTCCTATCAACTCTCGTTAAAACTCTGGCAGCAGCATTTTCGATCAGCTGAAGACTTTTTAATGAAGTTTGTGGACACCCAGATAGTCAAGAATTGCAATAAACCAGCCTTGACATCACAAATGCACGAACCGGTTTTTCTGCATCGTTTTTAGATGAGATGTTTCTAATCTTAGTGATGTTACGCAGGTGGAGGAAAGCGGTTTTGGTAACATTTTTAATATGGGGGTTAAGACATGTCCTGATCCAAAATAACACAGAGGTTTTTAACTTTAGAACTGGAGGCCAAATTGTCATCCAGAGAAAGTGAAAGACTGCAAAATGTATTCCTAAGATGCTCACTCAGGTCCAAAAATCACAACCTCTGTCTTGTATGCATTTAAAATTGGAAAATTAAGGGTCATCCAAGTTTTTGTCTTTTAAAATATGATTGTAACTTAAGTAACTGATTGGTTTCCTTTGGTTTCATAGACAAATATAACTCATCAGCATAACAATGAAAAAGTACCCCGTGCTGTTTAATAACGTTACCTAATAACGGAAGAATGGAAGCAAATACAAGGAAAAGAGTATTGGTCCAAGTAGTGAACCCTGAGGAACTCCATGACTAACTTAGAAGATGCATTAATAATATTTACAAACTGGAATCTATCGGATAAATATGATTTAAACCATTGTAGAGCCGTTCTTGTAATCTCAATATCATGTTCAAGTCTCTAATAGAATATTATGATCAACTGTATCAAATGCAGCACTGAGGTCTAACAGGACCAGTGTAGACACCTGTCCATTGTCAGAGGCCATGAGAATATCATTAGATTTTTACTAGTGCTGTTCTGTGCTATGATAAGCTCTAAACCCTGACTGAAATGCTCCAGATTATTTTTTGGCAGATGTTCACGCAACTGGCCTGCAACTATTTTCTCTAGAATTTTTGAGACGAAAATTTGATTAGATATAAGTCTATAATTGAACTATTACACATGAGAAAACCCAGTGTGTTGGCCCATCTTGATCCAGTTCTGTCCTCAAATTAAAATAAATGACCTTTTTAAATATATCAATCAAACCAACAGCTTAAGGAATTTAAAGAACACTTGGAGCTGTTTTCTTGTATGTCTAAATCTAAAGTTTCTGAATTAAAATAAACCTTAAATTTAATTTGCTACGTTAGTGAGGGTAGTGTTTGTGCAGGCAGAAATAAACTTTTAAATATGTTTGAGCAGCCAAACAAATTAAAGTTATGATTTTTGGAAATAAAAAAGCCTGAGAGTCTTCTAAATGGGATATTTTTCTAAGTTATAGTGTAGCCCTGTGATGGATTTGAACAAAGTTTGTGTACTTCTCAGAATGTATCTATATACAGAAGGTTGGATAGTACTTTATTTTCTAAGCGCACATTTATGGAAACTACTGAAACCTCAAAAAATATAATTTTACAGAAGGCTCTTCCTTTTTTTTTCTTTAATGAGTACTTCCTTTAAACAAAACTACAAATAGTGCATATGAATATGACCGTAGACGAACAGTGTGCGACAGATGGAGCTTTCTTTTAAATCCAAAATTAAATGTTCTGTTTTTCGTGCTTCCTCCTAAACGTCTGTCCAAGTAGTGGCAGTACTGCTGGTTAGCTGAGTGACAGCTGGTTTTGGTATTTGTGTTTCATACATTTGTTACAGTTACACTCTTACTTGCAGGACCTGCTAGATGACCATCTCATTCCCAAAGCCACACCTCCTGACAGTAAAGTTTTCTACCTGAAGATGAAGGGAGACTACTTCCGCTACTTGGCTGAGGTGGCTGTTGGAGACAAGAAGGAGGGTAAGGACAGATTCTTGTTTATACAAAGTAACGTTTAAAAGCGGTTTTAACTCTGAACTTTATCTACCAGCTGTTTTCTGTGCACTAGTTTGATTAGAAGTCCTGTAAATACTTTAGTATGAAGACGCTTGGCTCCGTTCAGGTGTTTGTGTCCAGAATACTGACATCCTCTTCGTCCTTGACCTACAACTGTCAGCCATACTGTTATCTGCTGCTGCGTTGTCACGGCAACAGAAGCAGCGCCAGGGTGTTGGCTGATGCTGGTCGCCAAGAGGCGTTTTAGAGTTTCTGTGGTAGCAGTGGGGTTGTATCAAAGTGGCCTATTTCCTCTTTGTAATCCTAATTTTAGGTCGACTTAATTGGCTTAAGAAGATTTCCTTCAGCGTAATTTTTTCATTAAAAACAAAAAGTATTCATCGTTTTTTTCTATTGTAAATCCATAACTGACCCATCTGGGTGGTTGGAAGCCCTGTTCATTGATCCATAATTCTATAATGTGGCTTTTTCCTCTCCTAAAATCATTGGTGGCTAGTTTCCACTCAGATGCTGATTATCTGAAATGTGTCGTCGTTCTCGCAGGATTCATGCTAACAAATTTTGTTCTGATGTTTCCAAAAGGATTTCCTCCATCTCCAGTCTATTTTTAGAGCTTTAAATTGGATCTTTTTGTAAAATCAATTGGTTTAGAAGATAAAGTTTCCATTGTTCTGTGCATGGGTTATATATTTGATGTTGCATTTGTTATTAACATCGACTTGGGCAGTTTTTAAATTTAGTAACGCAGATTTTGCACAATTTAATTAATTAATTAAAAAATTTTTTTTGCAAAATACTTGTTTTTTAATGGTTTGTTCTCTTGTGAAGCCATCATCAACAGCTCACAAGAAGCCTACCAGAAAGCGTTGGATATCAGCATCACTGAAATGCCGCCCACACATCCCATCCGTCTGGGTCTCGCGCTCAACTTCTCCGTCTTCTACTACGAGATCGTCAACTCTCCTGAAAAAGCCTGCCAACTTGCCAAATCGGTAAGAATTCTCTTTTAATCACAGTTGAGTATAATTTATTTCTTCCTTTGGTTATTGTAAGACGGTGGGTGGGGGCGATGTGCTACTCGATGCTGGGTGTCACCTGAGAAATGCCTGCATTGTTTCTGACCAGATAAACCACAGGAAATGACATGATGAGACACTAAATTGTGTTGTACCTTGAAACTGGCTCACACTTACTTACAGGTGTCTAGGTAAACTTTTCTTTTTAACTGTTTTTGTTGTGAAACTGTTCTAAAGTTTGTCTCACCTTATGTCTTGCTGCTTATATGGGTTATATGTCTGTGCTGTGTGAGAGGTGGATTTAGAAATTAGGTTAAAAACAAACTTTTGGAAATGTAAAAGAATGACGATATTAAGTTCTGTTTTTAGTACGATGTGATCAGAAACTCTTCTCCGCTTATAAATTGTCTGCAAGCGTCATGGAAACTCTGCATCATGTGGTAAAATCTTACTTTAGACTTAAAGTGCATTAAAATATAGGAGTGCTTTCACTGCCGTCTATTGATGTGATCCAAAATGTATCCCTGCAATATTTGGACTCATCTGTTTCAGTTGGTTAAATTTCTTCAGTAATTGTGCAGGCATGTTCCTTTCTGTGCATGTTCGAAAGCTGACCTTAGAGTGCCTCGAAAACATAAGTTGTCCTCCGTTAACAAATTCAAATGCTGCTTGTGAATGCACCACACTTGTAAATTGTACAGATTTGAATTATTTGCATCTTGAAGTCATTGATGATTTCATCAAGTTTGTCTCGGTGATGAGTAGTTGCTACTTAAGGCTCCCACATACTCGGGCGTACATGTCCACGCGTACCCGATTAGACTCGGCGCGAACTTGAAGTGGGACGTCCACAAACCATGTCCGCCCAAAGATCAATTTTTACGACTTCGTACGCATACCGTGTCGCACAACTGCCTGGCGACAGACTTGTTTTGTATGCGACACCAATGTAATAAATTCTCCTTCTTCATCCCTGGTCTGGTTTAATGGGCTTTTTGTTTTTTGTTTTTTGGCCAAGAGGCAAGTGATCTCTTCCTCCTCCTCCATTGACACCATGACTGAAATTGTGAGAAATGAAGGAATTCGTCATGAGAGAATTAAAATCAGGTCCAGCGTGGCTGCAGGAGGGTCTGGAGATTTCCCGGTGGGCCAGTCTGATTTGTGGGCTGCTGGGCCAGCGCTCTGTTTTTTATAATTTTTTTTAATTTTAGAACTTTTTATTAAGAACATATAAACACATTATTGCTCCTGGGCTGCCAGCTACGCAGGGCCTCCAGTAGCAGCTTTTTTTATTTTTTATTTTTTTGTGACCATCTCAATCAATCCAGTAGGTGTCAGCAAATGACCAATATGCAACCTCAATTTGTCCCAAAGGTAAACACCCCTTGCCTGCGGAGCTGGGCTGCAGCCCATCAGGGTGTATGCTCAAGTGTGAAGTCTCAACCGTCTGCGAACAGTGTGCGCAGTGTCTGCGTGGCTCACGGAGTACACACAGTACGCCCGAGTATGTGGGAGCCTTAACTCCTATTTCAAGCTGGGTACATAACTTTTGTCTCCTCCAGGCCTTTGACGAAGCCATCGGCATGCTGGACTCCCTCAACAGCGACTCCTACAAAGACAGCACCTTGATCATGCAGCTGCTCCGCGACAATCTGACCGTGAGCGCCTTCACCTCCTCTACGATGACTCTTTTCTGCCTTTGATAAAATATATTAACCCCTGTATCCTGTGTTGTTTGTGTGTGCGTGTGTGTGTAATTCAGCTGTGGATGTCTGATGCGCCGGGAGAGGGCGAGGGTGAAGGAGAAGAGACGGAGCCTCAGGCTGCTGAGAAGAACTGAACTTCAGAAAAAGAAGCGAAAGACACATTTTTTTTTTTTACCTCTCACCAGCCTAAGTTGTATGCGTGGTTGTGTGTGTGCACACATGCACAGTTTACACTTCACTCAGCGTGTAAAGTACAGTGTGTGTGTGCAGATGCATCAAAGTGCGTGCATGTGTTCCATGTGGTAACTGTATGAGCATGTCTACAGAGAAAAGAGTGGTATATATTTGTTTTCTTCTGACCATTGTGTGATCCATGTATTTTTTTTTGGCTTTATTCCAGATTAAATCCCTCCTTTAGATCTGCCCCACCATGTTTAACATGTTTCAGTGTAGCGGACTCCTGCCAGTCAGTCAGGTGGTTGGTTGAGTTTCCTGCTGCTGCAGGAAAACCAACCAACCAATCACCAGACTGACTGTCTCTTTGGAGAATTTACATGTTTTTACTTGAACTGAACATTTACAATCTTTTGTCCACAAATTGTCTCTGAAACCACTTTAGAGCGGTAGTCCGGTTTCTTTAAACGGCCCGTCTGACGGCAGCAGGGAGTATACTCTGATGAAAGGTATTACCTCGGTGAAGATCTGTTCCCGTAGTACTTGTATCCATCCGGCCCGGTCGGTGTCCGGTGTAGCAGGTAGTGTTTTTATGGATGGTACACGTGTCAATTGAACGGGTTGTACGTCTTTTTCATCAGTGTTTTTGCGTGAATGACCACTTGCGCTTCGGTTGATTTTTGTTGGGATTATTTTCTACGGTGAAGTGTCTGGATTATGATTTCCTGCAATTTTTCATACCGCATAAGGTAAAGGCAGCCTAAAATAAGAATTTAAGAAAAATACAAACGTCTCTACTGTAACTTTTTTGATATTTTATCTCATCAGCAGTGCAGACGACACTTTTGCCATGTGGCTTTCTACTCTTTTTCTATTCAGGTATTTTTTGTATTTTTCTTTTAATTTTATTAACTTTTTTGAATTTGACTTCTGGAATGTACGTGGTTCTCAGTAGTATGGTGTGAGGGTTAGACGGTGTTATAATAAACGGGCAGTTTTTGGCTTAGGATCAACTTTAACCTGGTGGTTTAAAGTGACATTTATCTTTTTGTTGAAAGTTCATCATGAAAACTAAAACCATGCTCAATATAAAGTGAATATTAAAGTAACTTGGTAGAAAGCTTCTTTAAAGCCATTTTGTAGTCACAAAGTTGTGCCAGTTCTAATTACAGTATCTTTGTTTTCTTTTTAAAAAGGTTGGGATTCAGGATTCAGAATTTGCAAGTTACACTTTTAGTGCATTATTTGGTTATGTGCTTTCATGTATGTGGAATTAAAATGTTCAAACTGAGTACTGGTCTCCTTTTCTGTTGATGTATAAAAGATGCAGAAGCTGAAAATTCTCATTTTACTTGCCACGTTTCATTTTGGACCATTGTGATGGACACAAGTTATAAATAAATTATTTTGTTGTATCCGTGGCCTGGAGAATTAAAATTAATTTAAATAGAGGGGTGCACACAAAAACCAAGCTTCTGCGGCCAACAAGGATCATCTTAGTCTATTTTTCACAGGCAATGCTGCCCTCTGGTGAAAAGCATGGGGGACAGAAAAAAACCATTCTGGTTAATCCAATAACAGCAAGTCATACTTACAGTAAACCATGAGTTGTTTATACTGATGGAAAAATCAGCGTACAAAAATGTGACATCTTGTTTAAACTTTACATGTCAGGATCTACTGACATAACCGTCCGTATATTTATTTCCAAAAGAGACGTCACTGTGTCTGATTTCAGAGAACGACTGGGCCTCTGGCTTGTTCTTCCAAGATATAAAACTGCACCTTGGAGATGTTTAGCAAAATGTAGCAACATGGCCACGGCTCAATTTAATTTTTAATGTCTGTGTGTTATGGTCTTGTGTCACATTTTACTTTTTATTGTAGCTTTTGTTTAGTTTTTAGCTTTTTTTTTTTTTTTTTTTGGTAAAAACTAAATCAGAATTAGCTTTTTTATCTAATTGGTGCTGAGTCAGCATCCACAATAATTTTAGTTTAGTTTGTTTTTGCTGCACATATTGAATTTTGGCCATTTGGATATCAAAATGTTCAGCTCGTTCAGGAGATGGCTACCTTCATTTTTGGGTTTTATGTTAGTTTAAAAAAAAAGGTTTTAACTTTACAAATTTTCCCACAGATATACAGAGATCTGTTCATAAACATGATTCTCAGAGAACTACTTCAGCATCATCTATTCTACTTTCTGCAACTGTTCTTTTAGCTTTAGCTATGTTTAGCTGTAAACTACCCTTTTGCTACTTTTAACATATAGTTAGCCTCTTGCTACTTTAATCTTTTGGTCTGTAGTTTAATTTTTGTACATTTCAGCTGATATTTTGGCTTTAGCTAGTATTTTAACACATTTTTTATTATTTAGCCTTTTGCCACTTTTGGTTATGCTTCTGATACCTTTTGTCATTTTGGCTGATATGTTAACTTTTAGCCTTTTATTTGTAGTTGGTCCAACACTACTTTTACCCTCTATTCCTTTTGGTTTTGCTACTTTTGTCCAGTCTTTGCGCCTTTCAGCTATTTTAATTCAGCTTATTCAGCACTCAGCATTCACACTGCAGCTTTGTTATATATATATATATATATATATATATATATATATATATACATATAAATACAAAATTCCTGATTTGTTTATGATGTAAATACATTAGCTTGCTTCGTTTAATCCTGTTTGGGTGACTCAATGAGTGAATCGTTTAGACATGAACTAACTCTTTAAAATCTTAGGAATAGATTTGGGGACGCTTTGTCATGAAGGACTTTGCCCGCACCCCTATCCAGAAAAAAAAAAACCTAATCATTCTTTAACGTGACTTAAATGGGATTTGATGTTAATCATCAGTCCAACTCTAACCACGTGTTTTACATGACTTCATCATCATGCGCACAGTGGTGATTTTATAACGCCCCTTTGGAGACGTTGCCCCAAAATACTAAAAGCTTATTGGTCCATTTTCGTGACGTAATCACTAGTATTAAAACAAACAGCCTCCCATCCACTTCCTTCCTTTTAACCCCGGCGGTCAGTGTGGTGTGAGAGCGTGTGTGCTCTGAGTTCGCTCGGCACACGTTCTAAAAAAAATAATAAAAAATTAAAAAAAAATTCAAAATACATATATAAAAAAAATAAGCCAAAAAATCTTTCTTTTTTTTGTAACAAGTTTGCGGAGCAGGCGTTCGAGGACGGGACGGTAACGTACAAGAAAAGGGCTAGCTTAACCAGCGACCAGTTGTTTTTCTTTTTTTAAGTCGAATTTACAAGAAACGGGGGCGTCCAGTAACGTTTTTGAGTGTGGAAGTGACAATTTAACGTTATCATTTATTTTTTTGAACCTCAACAAACGCTTCCAACCGACAAGTCAACGGTCGTGCTCTCCCATCATTCCGCCCCGGACTGACGTGACCGTTTGGACCTCCGCAACTTTCTTCTTCGTCTTTTCCGTTAAGAACAACTCGAGCTTCGTCCGACCATCGTCGTGTTGACAGTCTCCTCACAGCTAAAGAACGATGAACCCCAGCGCTCCCAGCTACCCCATGGCTTCCTTGTACGTCGGGGACCTGCATTCGGACGTCACCGAGGCCATGCTGTACGAGAAATTCAGCCCAGCCGGAGCCATCCTCTCGATCCGGGTCTGTAGGGACATGATCACCCGGCGTTCCCTTGGATACGCCTATGTCAACTTCCAACAGCCAGCGGACGGTAAGTGGGACATTAAAACGCCCGGAAAGTGGCACCAAAATTGTCCTCCCTGGGCAGCAGGGGCGTAGGGAGGAAATCCCACGCCCTCCCTGTCCACCCCAAAAAATTATAATCATTTTAAAGCACCTTTTGTATTTTAATTGCTAAACTTTCAAGTGGTGGCTTTACCATTTATCTGTATTAGATTTGGGGAGGGGTGGGTTAAAACGAGCCCTTTGAACCATGGGGAGCAGATCTCTTAACATTTTCTGCATAGCACTGATAAGAGCATGAGCCTGTCTCTGCCCTTTTGCTCTCTTGGGTGTGTTGTCATCTAGCTCTTAAAGATTATGCACTGATGCTCTACTGTGACTGGTTTTATATTGTTTTATATCTAGCATCATGTGTAGAAAAAGTAGTTGTGATGCTGAACAGTTTGTAAAATGTTTGCTTCCCCCCCCTCATTGTTCTGTCTCACCATGACCAACTACTCTGGTCTAAATGACCTCTGTGGTTTTCCATGTAGGTCCTCATGGCGTGGTTACCTAAAACATATGGCGCTTGGCTACTGTCTCCAGAATGCACCACCCCGCACTTGTTAACGGCTTGTCCACTGCTGGCACCCACCCCCACTTAGCCCCGTTTTATTGTTCGTGGTTCCAAGCAATTTTGATGTAAGCAGTCAGCAGCCATTGACTGGCCAGAGGAGCTGCGTCACTGAATGACCCGTCCAGTTAGGTTTTTATAGTTTTAGTTCAGTATGGAAGCTCCAAAAATAGTACCTTGGACCAATGACAAGGTGTAGACCTTTCTGTCTTTATTGGCGGAACAGGATTCAGCGTGAGCTAGGTGGCGCTACAAGAAAATATTGAATTTACCTCGAGATATCAGCACTTGGACCTCTAAACAGTGCTGGGATAAACTAAAGAAATTGAATTCAGATTACAGTTATGATACCCACCCACTCTGCATTGACGATCCCACTCAGAGCAGGGAAACAAGTCACAGAGACCTAACGTTAAGGCCCCGTTTACACAACGCATTTTTTTGATGGTTTTGAGGATGATAGTTGAACAAGGATGTTTAACGATAGACGGGTTCTCTTCACAAAGATGGCTTCCTTCACTCCTCTCTCAAACCAGTATTTCTTGCCATCAAAACTGTGCAGCATCTTCATCCCTGAAAGTGCGACCGCTGGCCTGCAGATGAGTGTAGACTGCAGAGTCCTTTCCTGATGACGACACGGAGCCAAATCAGCTACGTCTGAGAAGAACCGATAAGATGAGAACCGACTAGTCACACTTATCAATGGCAAAGCGGTTTTATTTTCTATCCAAGGCTAACACAACAAAGCAACGGGCGAATAAGTGATGCGAAGTCACAAAAACAATCGCCGTCCTCTGCCACCGTTTCTAAAAATACCGTGGCCGAGTCCGCCAGTCAAAGCCCGTAACTCGAATCCAAATTCTCTCGTCTGCATTTGTGAGGTTTTAAATATGGTGGATTTGATTCGCTCGTGATTAACGATGCTCTCTGGTCAATCAATGACCTGCAGTCTGCTGATGTCATCTTCTGCTTAACTTGGCTCTCTTGGCAGCTGAGGCGATCCGAAGAACCGAGTTGGAAGCGGGTGGGATCACCCAGTGGAAAAACTGAAGCCGCTCCAAGTTCACCTGTCTTGACTCCTGACTTGTCCGAGCTTGTACCTGCTCTACACCTCACTTGAAAAGCTTAAAAAAATTAACTAAACTTCTAAAACTATGTGAAAGTCCACTCTGTTGCAGTTTACTTTAATTAGCCGCTGCTGCACAAACCACAGATTGATCTTAATCGTTTCTCTAATTACTGTAAACTAAAAAAAATTTTAGCTTCATGGACCAAATTGTTTTAAAGTGGTGAGAAAAGGCCAACGTACAAAATACCAGACAACACAACAGACACCACTTTATCCTATTGTTCTGACATTGCATAGAGCAAAGTCAGTCACAGCTGCAAACATCTAATTGAAAAAAGTTTCTCCAATCTGAAACGAAAAGTTTTCTGATAAATTTTATATCAATGGATTTTACTGCATGAACCTCAAGATGAAGGTGAAACTGAATAATTTCTGAAAACGAAGCAAAAAATATTATTTACAGACCAATATGTCTTAGAATTAGAGTTGTTTATCAAAAGTAATATTATTTTGACTCAAATGATAAAAAAGCAGCTGATCGACGTAGGTTTCAACTAATTAATTCTTTCCACAGATCCAGGCTTGCACCGCATTAGAAATAAGTAAAATAAGGCATTTAGAAATCATGCAGTCATTACAAATTACAATAATATTTAAAATTATTCATAATTTAATTGAGTAATATTTCTTTTCTTGCCTTTTGCAGCAGCACGTTTGCCCATTTTGATGGTATTTCAAACTGGTACAAGAGAGAAGGTCTTGAATGAAACGTGTAGAGTAACTCTCTTTTTCTGCTTTTAGCGGAGCGGGCTCTGGACACCATGAACTTCGACGTGATCAAAGGGCGGCCCGTACGCATCATGTGGTCGCAGCGTGATCCGTCGCTGAGAAAAAGCGGAGTGGGAAACATTTTCATCAAGAATCTTGACAAGTCAATCGACAACAAGGCTCTTTATGACACCTTCTCTGCTTTTGGCAACATCTTGTCGTGTAAGGTAAAGTCCCACTTGGAGCGTTTCCACCTGCAACCACCTTGACTCTTTTTGACTAACCTAACTATGAAAGAGCCGGAGTGGCCATCGGAGGTACTATTTAAGTCCTTGCTGTTGTTTTGTTTTTTATAAACTAAACTGAAAATAGTTGTGGATGCACCTTTTATCTTTTATTCTGGTCCAACAGCGACTTTATAATGAGTCATTTACCACGAAAAAGTTAGAGCAAGCACTTTTACTTTTTAACTCTTGAAGTGTGCAGACTAAAACATTAGCTCTGTATTTTTTTTAAAGCACTCGCATCATTTCACTTGCACTCCTTAAACTTGTGCCTGGCCCCTGATGTAAGCAGTTTTTCTTTCTGCCCCAACAAAGGGCTCGTTTTATGTTCAGCACTGGTGCCAAACCAGAACTGGACCTGCTTCGGTGGAAAACTGCCCACTGTAGTTTTCTGCTGTTTACTCGCTACACAGAATTGTACAAATATAAAGTTTCTTAAAGTCTTGTGGCCAAAGTTTCTACTCTAAGGGGAGTCACGTAACAGATAAGTTGGATGACCTAACAAACGGTTAGTGTGTGTGTTCAAACAGCATGTCTTCTCTCTCAGGTGGTTTGTGATGAGAATGGCTCTAAAGGCTACGGCTTTGTGCATTTTGAGACTCAGGAGGCTGCTGAACGAGCCATTGAAAAAATGAATGGCATGCTGCTCAATGACAGAAAAGTGTAAGTGAATGTTTTCACCGGTTTTAAACCGTTAATGTGCATACTAATGAGTAAAGAGGAGAAAATGTTGAAGTAATACTGTGCCTGGTTTGAAAATTTGAAGCTCCAGATTTGTTTGAGCGTGTATGCAGTCCTTTTTCTACAAGCACGATTCAGTAGATTTACAGTTGTGCTTAAAGCTTTACATACCCTGGCAGAATTTGTATTTTATTTATTTATTTTTTTTTGGGGGGGGGGGGGGGGGGGGGGGCATTTTTTAATAGAATGTGAATGATAACACAACTTTTTTTCACATATAGTTAGTTGTTCAGTGAAGCCATTTATTATCAAACGATTGTTTGCCTTCTTTTTTTTTTTTTTACGTCATAATGACCAGAGAAAATATCCAAATGGCCCTGATCAAACATTTACATACTCTGGAAGTTTTGTCATAACACACACACACAGGTTGACACGGGTGTAAATGTCTACTAAAAGTTCCCGTCCTCACCTGTGATCAGTTTGACTTTTTCTACACACCCACTAATTACAAGCGGTGAGTTTCAGTGTTCCGACACTAATCAAGAAGTGGAAAATGAGGGATTCTGTTGAAGCCAAGATCAGGTAGACCATCAAAGATTTCAGCCACAACTGCCGGGAAAATTGTTCAAGATGCAAAGAAAAACCAACAAATAACTGGATGTTTCAAGCTGCTCAATAATTCAATTCAATTAGGTTTATTTCTAAAGCGCCAAGTTACAACAGAAGTTGTCTCGGGGCACTGAACAAAAACTCTTATACATATAAGCGAGTTGGTAAAGTTCTCTAAGGGAGCAGCAGATTGTGTTGAATCATCACTTTATCACAGTCGCCCATCCTAATGTCAATTTATCTACACGACATGTAAAAACGACAAAAGCTGACCTAAGTGCTTTACAATTCAATCAAATTAAAATGAAAAAGGTGAGAACAAAAAGATGCATCTTGTGCCACTCAGGAAAAACAAAAAGTTAACAATGAATGAAACAACTATAAAAATCAGGTCCAACTGGTTCTCAAACTTTGTATGAATCAAATGCCATGGGGGAAAAAAGAGTTTAGAGCGAAGATTTAAAAGTCTCGACATTCTCTGCAGTTTTTGAATGATCAGGTAAACTGTTCCACAATTTTGGAGCAGCACCTGCCAAAGCCCGATCACCTCTGGACTTCAGTTTGGATCTGGAGACATCTAAGAGGAACTGGTTGGTAGACTGGAGTGCTCTTACTGGAGTGTAGATGTTAAGAAGATCACTCAAATATAATGGGCCCAGACCTTTTAAGACTTTAAAAACAAGCAATAAAATCTTAAAATCAACCCTGAAGTGAACAGGAAGCCAGGACAAGGATTATGTGTTCATGTATTTTAGTTGCTGTTCATAGATGAGATGCTGCGTTCTGGGTGGTTTGTAAGCGATGCAGAGATTATTAATCTGAATCAACACACAAAGCATTACAGTAATCCAAACAAGAGGTATCACCATACCATACCATTTTATTTATAGAGCACTTAAAACAGCGACAAGGCCAACCAAAGTGCTGTACAGACAGAACAACAGGTAACACACAAAGCAAAATGAAGTAAATCGGAAATATAGACATAAACGATACAGACAATGACGACAAACCGGTGTGGAGCATACAGGTTCAAAACACAGATCATCAAAAACACGAATCACCTTTGAAAAAGCGCAGAGGCAACAGTGGAAAGGAAAAACTCCCCAACAGGAAGAAACCTCCAGCAGAGCCAGGCTCAGGACGAGCGGCCATCTTCTTCGACCGGGTGGGTTTGAGAGGACAGGAAGGAGAAACGAACGCAGAATGGCAGGTCCAGGTGGACTTTCTATAGGAGGATAGACAAAAACACCTGTTAAGATGGAAATAATTCCAAATACAAACGGGTAGAGATAATAAGGAGGCACTTGAAGAAAAATGGCAGCATGGTCGAGTCACGTGAAGAAAGCCGTTCCTGCGCCACGCCACAAAGCAGCCTGCTTACAATCTACCAAACAGCACCGAGACAAGCCTCAAAACTTCTGGAACAAAGTTATTTGGAGCGATGAGACCAAAATTGAACTTTCTGGCCACAACCATAAAAGCCTGGCTATGAGTCAACAATGCCTGTGATGAAAAGTACACCATCCCCACTGAAACACGAAGGTGGATAGTTGATGTTTTGGGGATGTGCGAGGCTGCACAGGGAACGTGGCCATAACTGATGGCAAGATGAACGCAGCATGTCATCAGAAAATACTGGAGGATAAATTTGCACTCCTCAGCTCGAAAGCTGCACATGGGACGCTCTTGGATGACGATGCTCAAAAACACAAGGCCAAGTCAACGTGTCGGTGGCTACAGCAGAAAGAAGTGCAGGTTCTGGAATGGCCACCTCAGTCTCCTGACCTCAGTATCATTGAGCCACGATGGGGAGATTTCAAACGTGCAGTTCACGCAAGACAGCCCAAGAATTTGGAAGAACTGGTGACATTTTGTCAAAAAGAATGGACAGCTTTACCAGGTGAGAAAATAGTGTCTCATCCACAACATCACAAAAACTTGAAGCTGTCATTGATGCTAAAGCAGGCAGTCCACGGCGTTGAGAACTAAGGTTTGTAAATGTTTGATCAGGGTCATGTGGGTATTTTCTGTTGTCATTAAGGTATAAAATAGGCAAACACAAATGTATGATAACAAATTGCTTCAACCAACCACTAAAAATTCAAACCACACAGAAGAAAATGACATTCTGCCAGTGTATGTAAACATCTGAGTACAACTGTACTCTGTAAAACCTAAGTTTTGCAGTGTTTTTTAATATTTGTACACTGAAACAATGATTTGTAGCAGATAAGTCAGTGAAGCAAGTATACAACATGATTTATACAAAAGATGATTTTTTTTATTTTTTATATCAGAAATGACAACAGTTATAATATTTCTTGTCTTTTATTGGGATTTATTTGAAATGTCACTTTAAACACAGGTTTGTGGGCCGATTTAAATCTCGGAAAGAGCGTGAAGCTGAGCTGGGTGCCCGGGCCAAAGAGTTCACGAATGTCTACATCAAAAACTTTGGCGACGACATGGATGAAGAGAAGCTGAGTGAGCTTTTCAGTCAGTACGGTGAGTAGCGTGTCTGTACACCAGCTGGCCTTTGCTTAACGTGCACCACGTCAACGTTGTTGTGATTTTTAGGAAACGCTCTGAGTATTCGGGTCATGACGGATGAAAGCGGAAAGTCTAGAGGGTTCGGATTCGTCAGCTTTGAAAGACACGAGGATGCCCAAAAGGTAAGATTTGAGTTATTACATTTAAAAAAAAAAGTTTTTATGATTCTTTTTTTTAGTAACCACAATAAAACTTGTATTGGTCGGTACTTGTTTTTAATTATTCTTTATTATTTCAGGCGGTGGATGAAATGAATGGCAAGGAGATGAATGGAAAGCTCATCTATGTTGGCCGAGCTCAGAAGAAGGTGGAGCGACAGACGGAGCTGAAGCGCAAGTTTGAACAAATGAAACAAGACCGCATGACTCGTTATCAGGTTCGTTTGTTCATCTGCTCCAAACAGGAAAGATTTACGGCAGAAGGCAGCGGGATCTCTGAAAATAAATCAGTCAAAATGTTTTGTTTATACGTGAATAAAAGCTGCAGCTTTGTCAAATTCGGTGCTCCCTCGTCAGTAGGCTGCATCGGCCAAAATGGCTGCAACAGTGATTCTGTAGCTCATGGGCCCCGCTTCTCTGTACTGTGAACTGTGGGGATAGATTTGGTCTACAGACAGAAATATTAAATCCTTTTTTTAGAACAATATAAACGAGCCTAAGTATAATTTTATTTATTTATTTATTTTTTAATGAAGGGTGTCAACTTGTATGTGAAGAACCTTGATGATGGAATTGATGATGAACACCTGAGAAAGGAGTTTGCCCCATTTGGTACCATAACCAGTGCCAAGGTAAGGCATCCAGTTTGATTTATTTAGTAATGAAGGATTGGGCTGAAGATAAATAGTCATTAACATATTTAATGACTGATTGTTTTGTAGGTGATGATGGAAGGTGGGCGCAGCAAAGGCTTTGGTTTCGTCTGCTTCTCGTCCCCAGAGG